TACCTTTACTGCTGCAGGCCGCTGGCTTGAATATATTTTCTCACTTGGATCTACAGTCCAGTGCGGCCTGGCCCTGATATTCCCCTACTTGCAGTACTGCCCGAGGCATTCTAGATCTTGGGAGATGATCTAAGGATCCCAAAGTTCACTAATGGACCGTTTCTTCCTAAGAAGAAGGACATGAGGCTAAGCAACTTCAGGGTGGCTTGACTTCATGCTTCACTGTGGAGAATCGTGAGAATTCTTTACAATCTACGAATCTACGAATACCGTCTTTACAATCTACGAATCTTGAGTAGCGAAGTCGCAAATATATTCATATTCAAGTAGACGCTATAACGATTTCGTAATTTTCTTTATTTTTATTTGTTCTTTCATCATGAATAATGTGAAATGATAAATTAACAGACTTAAAATTCGACAGACAAATCTAGACACACTACGACAATTCATCAATTTTAGGCTTGTACAATCTCTCAAAATTCTTCCCTTTCTACCACGCGTTGTCTCCCCAAACACTGAAAGTTTCAGCGTCGAAAGAATAATCAATTGGAGATTACATAGTACGAAAATTGAAAATTGAAATCGACTGCTGGGTGGGTCAGGCCCATGATCATGTGCTCGCAGGCATTTGGGTAACATTGTGGTACTGTTGGCTAGTCAATTATCGTGACTTCGCGCAATGTGGATAGTGATAATGAAGTTCGCGATCAAAGGTGAATCGTCTTAGCGGCAGTGTGATAAAAACTTTAGAATCCACTGACACATCCTATTAGTACGTATTTTATTTATGTACGTTATGTACCTTTCACAAGGGACGCTTCTATGCTCCTCAAATACGTTTCGAATGTAAGCGAGTAGTGCACACTGACCAGTATAAACAAAGGAAATAAGTTGTACGTATTGACTTTGAGAAATTAATAGAACCTGCACAGTCACACTGTATAACGTCCAACAAAAAGAAATAAAATATATTACCAGACACGAAGTATCACATCAACAGTACCCGCAGATCCACACACACACGTCAACTCGGAATCGCAGCAACAACATCGACGGCGGCGTCGGCACCGGAACCCGACAGCCGAGGGCGTGCCAGCACAGGTGCGCGATGGGGCGGCGGCGGAGGCGGTAGCCGCTTCCGGCGCTCGACCGGAAGCGGCCCGGCGTCTCCGCGACAATGGCGGGTGATTGACGCGCGCGGGCGCATGGACGGCCGCGTAACTTCGTAGCGCCCGCGCGCGCGCTGATTCGGGGGCCTTTGTCGCGCGATCGCACCCAACGCCGTTGCTGGCGCACAGTGCTTCCCGGAAAGTACAAAACGCGCGTCGGGGTTTTTCTCAAATTTAATAAACGATTTATAAGTGAAAATTAAATAAACATACACCTATTGCATTTCATTAGTTTTCCTAAAATGTTCGTATATTACCCTTGCTATCTTCTTCTGATATATTTTCACATTCATGGTGAAAGTCGTTACATTGGCAATATTTCCTCTATGAACGTATGTAAAAAATCGTATGTGTTTGAGTCAAATTTCTTAAACATTTAAAAACCCTATTTGGATATTCAACTGAATTGTTTTACCATTCAACTGAATGCTTTATGTTTACGATCGATTTCTCGTAGTGAATGCAAGATACACGCGTAATTTTGTTTTCGAAAAAATTCGTCGTAATTTTGTTTTCAAAAAAATCGGTGTAATTTTGTTTTTAAAAAAATCGGATTAACAGATTTTGCACTTTTATTTATTTATTTTTTCTTCCATGCCACACACCTGACCCACTTGCAGCCGTGCGTGCGGCGCCTTCCTCCCTCGTCAGCGCCCGCGTCGGCGGCGGCGGAGGGCGGCGGAGGAGGGCGGAAGGAGGAGCGGCGGCGCGACGGAAGAACGCGGCGCGGGAGTGACCCGGGGAAAGGCTTGTTTGCTCGCATCCGGTTCTTGTAAGGGCATTACACGGCTACGTAGTTGCCCGACACCCCGGCTTCCTGCGTGCCCGCCTCGGCGGGGCGGGGCGGGGCGGGGAGGCGCAGGTGGGCCACGAGGTTGGGGGCGAGGCGAGTGGGGGTGGCACGTCCCATGCCACGACGGTGCGATGACGAATACCACACAAATTTACCAAAAAGTGCTATGATCTATTTATGATGTGTTGTTATCAGATAGGAACAGAACTGCCTATACGTTAAGAGCAAATCTATTCACATTTAATTGCATATAAAATATATGCAATTAAATGCTATGCATATTTAATTGCATTGATTATAAAGCAACCAGCTCAATACGATTGACAAAAATGTGAATGACGTATATAACATGATTCATTAAGACAAAAAAAAAGCAGATTGGCTGCCTAAAAATGCCAAACAGCTCGATTGTTATCTATATATACTATCATACCAATTAAATGCATTCAATAATGGGTAAGTGGAAGCCACACATATTTGAACCCATACATACACGAGTGATTTTTCTCAAGATTACCGTAACAATTCAGGACCACAACAATTTTGATTCATCGTGCAGAGCAACGGGATGCCTAAAGCAGCTCGGCAATGCTTCCAGACGAACAGTTAGAGCGAAGGAGCGGATGGCAAAAAAACAGGTGCGGTGGCGGGGGGGGGGGCTCTCAACGGAAGCACGGCGCATGCGCCTGAGGCTGTTATCGGCGCGGCGCCCTGGGCCACCCACCCGCGCACCCGCGCGGCGACTGGGCCGTGGAAACTCAGTTACTGAGCCACGCGGTGGACGCGACGCCGCGCCGCGCCGCGCAGCCCGGCCTGCCTGTGGTTCCTTCCCAGATCAGAGAACCATTATACACAAGATATATAACTCCCGTATAACGTGGAGGAAACTATTTCAGCGGCGCGCTCAACTGCGGCACCGTCCTGCAGGAACTAAAATACGAACTTCTGCCAACGATACTTAGAACGTGCGTGGCTGCTGCGTCGGTTCGCGACACGCAAGCAGGGCCATAATGTTACAAAAGATAGCGTCGCTGTTCGCGCTTTCTTCGAGGGCTTCTTATGTCGAAAACTGAATTATTAAGAATTCCAAAAATCAGATGGGTTATGAGCGTATCGTTATTTTCCTTATAAATACTTATCAAATTTTGCATCTTTTCATTATCAGCCATGTCACTTTTCATAGGGAACCGAATGACTTGTAAAATTATGATACTATAGTAAGGTTTTGGTGAAATTATATTAAGAGTTTTAGGTTTGAAAAGATAAACAAGAACTATGCATTCGATCATTCTTTTGTCTACAGAGAACTTCTGAAAACAAATACGAGGCAGAAAGGAACAAAGAATCTTATACCAGAAAAGTAATTTCGTTAAGTACTAATAACAGTCTCCCCGCTGCATCCCGGGGCCGATCACCCCGCGGCAAAGAGGCCCAGAGAAAGTCGCAAGTGAAGCGGAGGCGCCGGGTGGAGTCCGCGACGGGTCACATCGCCTCCCCGCCCACGGCGAACCCTAAGTGCAGCGCGGCGGCACAATGGCGGGCGCCTCACACAGGACACTCGCGTTTCTCCTAATAGCGCCTCATCATACGGCCGGCGCCATTTCCGAACAAAGCAATGCGCCGCCGCCGCCACCGCCCACGCCCCCCTCCTCTCTCTCCCACCCTCGGCCCCCCACCGCCGCCGCCGCCAGCGCGCTCTGGAAACGCTTTCCGACGCGCGTTCCGCTCTGCCGCTTTTCTGCCCACGAGTGCGGGGATAATGAATAATAATTCCACATAACGACATGCATCAAACTGATCAAGATCTCCTCCCGAACAGCCATTTTATTTGTTTCTTGCCACACGAGAACCGTATACACAACACCCATTGTATCCGTCACAGACAAATAAATAAGTCTTTAATCATTCCAGACACGAGCTCCTTTCGGTTTGATGGAGGTTAAAGGTACAAAAGGCGGCGGCGGCGGCGGCGCGCGGTGGCGGGGGCTAGAGCGGGAGCGGGGGCGGAGGCGGGAGGGGCGCGCAGACCGTGGGAATAGCCTCATTGCATGTAATTGAGTCCCAGACAATACCCTGTGGGACTGGCGGGCGCGGGGCCCGGTGGGGAGTCGAGGGGCCGGGCGAGGAGGGGAAATGGTCGGGGTGGGGAGGAGTGAGCGCTGTGGAGGTCAACTGTCCGCCGCCGCCGCGCGCAACACGACACGAACGGTGTCATCCGATGGTGACGCTGCGCGAACTGCTCTGGACGTCAATGCTCCTGCTGCAGGCGCGATCCACAACTCGTAGATACCCTGCGAAAGATGAGCTATCCTACGCCGTCATTTATATACACTTCCGAAATTGATCTAGTACGTACAAAAAATATACAATGTATTTTACCTTTTATACATTGACTTCGATCATTTGCCAAACAAAATTGACGCGGTGTTTCTGAAGGGATGCATGAAGCTGTTTTTATTTCCGTATTCGACCAATCGTTTTTGAAATGACGCGCTATCAAAAATGTGAAGCAAAATTGAATCCAACTGATTTTACTTGTAAAGCGTTACAATTGTCCCACAATAAATTGATGCTGTGACTAAGAGAAATTCTGGTTCTAACAGAAAACACAATATTGGATGATACGTAGGATTGACGAACTGTATGGTTCGGAAATAAGGTTGGACACATGCTCCAGAATATAACGTGGCAGTACGAGATGAAGTAATTAGTTTCAAATATATTACATCTTGTATTCCAAGCTGTAATGTTCTCATTATTAGTTAACCCATTCACCATCAGTCGAAACAGACACGCTGTGCTCGATTCATCGAATGACCCTTGCGAGCGCGGAACTCAACCTGTAGCTGGAAACTCCGGGAGCGGGCGAGGCGGGCCGAGGTGAACTCGGCGCACCACCCTCCGCCCACAGCGCCGACAGCGGAAAGGGATAGCCAAAAGCACTACACTGTGTGGACAATGCAGTATTCTCACAGTCGCGTACTACATCAACACATCACGCACCAAGACCTTTTTATACGTAGTATGCGCCCGTATTAAAATTCTTAATAATAATAATAATAATAATAATAATAATAATAATAACAAATCACTTCAATTATTTTTGTTATTTTGTCAATATAATTCAAGAAGCCAAAACTTAACCAGAGCATAGCAACACTTTAAGAGATTTTATCGTCATATGATTGTGTATTCAAGACCTTCTTATTCAGTTATAACTCTATGTGAGTGAGGTGTATGATTCGTTCAATCTGTAGATTTTCCTTTGGTCTGGAAACCGGTGAATCCAACCCCAACAATGCAGTAGATTATATTAACTATAGCTTCTCTCTTGCTAGGCACTACGAGTCTATACTACTAATATCAAAGCATGAAAATCCGAACTTCCACTTTACAAAAGGGGAAATGATTCTTCGTGCGGTTACTTGAGGCTCACAAAATGAGCAATGTGCTCTTCACAAACGGAAAATTCGTAAATAAAATACATAATTCAGTACACATTAAATACTGGAAGAGTGCAAACATTTTTCCTAACTCTTGAATTCCACCAGAACAATCAATGACGTCCAAACATTCGCAGACCTCCACTGCCCTGTGAGCATTTCACTATTTAGCACCGCGCCTTGGCCCAGGGGATGAGCCCACCCGAAAATTTTCACGAGCAGGTGCGGGTCGATGTTATCTGCGAACGCGCATGGAAAGCTGGAACGAAAAGCAACATGGAAGAGTTTTTTAAATGCAGCTAGCGTCAGATGCGGTAAAGCGATAAGGATGAGTCATGAACGTTGCGAGCGTGAGTAACTATTCTCGATATAACGTCCCCACATAAGAGTTTCTAATTAAATTTAATTTCATATGCTTGATGACCGCGTTAATTTTCGTAAGCGAGGCCCGTAAGTTATTTTGACATAAAGCATTCTAATTGATATGATGCAAAGTTCTGATATTATAGGAATGTCTATTTCGTAATGTTAATTTACCTTGAGAATCTAACTAGGAATATTAAAAGAAATCTTGATGAGATTCATGTCACCCTACGTTGTTTTTTCTAGACTTTTAGGAAATTGTAAATCCCATAGTTCGTTCAGAAAACTTATTGATCTATCTCTACAATGCTCCCTCTTATGAATTGGCATTAAAGAAATATCAACTGTTTCAAAACTATCAAAAAGTAATCAGTATATTAAAAAAGCAGATTAGATGCTTATCAATGTGGTATCTGTAAGAAGATAAAACAGTCTTCCTGAATCATCACAGTTAGAAAAGCAAGTAGAGATAATGGAAAGATCGCATATAAACAGTAAATCAGGCGTAAATGGGTCTGTATATGAAATCATACGACTCTGTAAGAAATATTCCACAAAAAACTAGAATTAAATTACTTAATGTTACGAACGTTCTCAATGAACACAAAAATGCTAATACTGACACCTCATCATATGGCACTTTCTGATTCACAATAATATATTCTTTGAAGCCACAAACTCATCCGAGTACGAATTTTTGTTTAATTTCAGCGATACTTCAAATATTTGGTTGAAAGTCTCGTGAATTATATTTAGCAAAGTACATTTTACTTAAAATAAATAAATAATGTTTTTATTATACAAATCTTTTTAGCATGTAATCCGCTTGACTATTTAATATGACGGATTACCTAGTATACAGTTTACTAACTGTTTAGCCCTGAAGAAGGCAGAAAGCAAGATGACTCAAATACGCGCTCCAGCCTTCACCTCAGCGGCAGCGTCGGGTCGCCCAGACAGCCGCGTAGCTTGAGACTAGCCCCCGAAACTCGGTGCAACGCTTACGTACTATCTCATTGCGAATCTCCTAACGGAAAATCGCGCGAAATCCGGCCCTCGCCGCCAGTGGCTTCCATTCAAAGCAGACGGCGGCGTGGGCTGCGGCGAGCGCATCGAGCGGCGTGGGCGGCGGGGAGTCGCCCTTGGGGGCTCGTTGTGTGTGCACTTGCGGAGCACCAATTACGAGTGCGCAAGCGCAGAGCGTATCGCACACCGCGACCTCCAGCGTCCTCCTCCCCCTCCCCCCTCCTCCTGAGACAGGGGGCGGCGCCCGCGCTCCCGTGGCGTTCCTCGCGGAGGCAGAGCGAGCCACCCACAGCACTGCAGGAAGGGGGCCGCAAAAAACATCAACTATCCACCCAAAGCGACTGGCATTAATAAAAAATTTAAGTGACGTAAACGGTTCTGAAATTTCATTGATCTGGTTTCAAAACTAAATTAAATTTGAGTGTTATACGTTTAATAAATGATTAACGATCTGACAACTATATTGCAGCCTATTTCAATGCCTTCAATACAAGCGTCTTATTAATTTTCTCATTGTTAACACCCGTTAAAATTTCTTCGCAGCTCTGCTGATACAGACGTAGACATTGCTACAAAGCACATGAAGTGCTGTAGAATGAATGCGTTTTGAATGTTGAAAGGGAATATTAGATGAACATAATTATTTTTATTTGTATTTCCCAATTATTATTATTTGTACTAAAAAATGGTTTTAAGTTGGCAAAAAAACGCTTTCCAAAAATTTTGTATTCACAAAACCAATGTTGAAATTAACATTTTGTGAGAATGTGCGCGACGACCGACTTTGGAAATTCTGAACTAATTCCCTATCTACTTGCTTGTTGGCAGCATTAATTTTTGAAGATCCCAGAAAATTATGATTATTTATAAGTTTAAATTATTACGAATTCTTGGCGAGGTATGATGGTTTGGTAAAAATCTTCCCAATGCAGATTACGAATACTTCGCGAACTGCTTCATTACAGTACCACATATACATACGGTCCTATAGACCAACAACGCGTATCTACTTCGCCCCAGCGCCGTCTGTTCGCGTCGCAACCACCCCTCCCCTCTCCACACACCTGCCACTTGCCAAGTGCGCGAGACAGCACAAGAGCTTCCGAAAACTGTGCGACCTCGCTAACTTAAGTGACGGAGTTTCCGAAGCGCAACTAAGTTAGCCAAGTAGAAAGCCCGACCACGTGCGCGGCCTCGCCGCCCCCGACCGCAGCCCGGAGTACATGCGGCAGAAGATGGCGGAAGCGAAGGGTTCACGAAGGGCCCACCCGCAGCGCCACGTGTGGGAGATAACCGCTCATGAGATTCATGAAGAACGTAAAACATAACATTATGATACTAGAAGTATATAATAATAATAATAATAATAATAATAATAATAATAATAATAATAATAATAATAATAATCGCGTAAGAAGCATAACCTCGTTCGTGTGTAGGGAACATGAGAACTTTCTTTGGTGCCTTCGAAATGCAATTTTGTTTGACTTATAAGTTTGCTTTTAGGTTTTTCTAGTTACTGCTTTGTTTAATGTTTTTGGACAAAACACTTGAAACGACCTACATTCACTGGAAGAATTTGAAGTGAATCGTGACCAAAACACCATCACTGAATAACGATGTACTGCTAGAAAATCGCCCGTAGCCTCCGTACTACTATTACATGCACGACAAAGATCCCTGGTCGCGAGCAAGTGAGTTTCTCGAGGTGACTGCAAGGTGTTTTCGCTCGGCCTCTGTGCTTCCAGGAACCGCGCGGATTCTCGGCCGCGGCGCGAGCGCCGTGAGTCAGGGCGACGCGACGCGACGCGACGCACCAGTGACGGCGGCGAAGCGTGGGGCGGCGGGGGCGGCGGTTCCCGCGCTCGCAGGGTCCACCTGCCCCTGACGCACCGCAACCACCGACCGTGGCGAGGAGCCACACGCGAGCCCCGCCGCCAGCAGCCGGCCCCCGCGGCGCGCTCGCACACGCCTGCTCACTGCAGCTATTCATGAAGAGGCGGCCACACGCGCAATAATTCGACCACCTACACCGTGTTCACCCGGTGGATACATTTTTCTCATGGAGCAAATCGGTTATTTGATTTATTTATTCTTTTATTTATTTGTGTGAAGTTGAATGCACATTCCGAAAGTGTAAAAGTGGTGGATTTTGGTGGTTTTTTGATCAAGATCTTTTGATCAATGGTGGATTTTTATTACCAATATGAAAATGTATCTCTTGTGAAAAATTTTGTAAATATTCTGAATAATCATACACAGGAAACATAAACACACACATAATTTCTTCTCAGTCTTCTTTTTAGAGTTGTATGCGTTTGCCTACCCCAATTTTTGTTTTCAAATGAGAGCTAATGCCTTCACGTGGGTTGCAAATGGTAGCTAATGCTTTGGAAACAAATGTACCCAGTTACTTGTCTGGGCAAAAATATTGCACTACGATAGTTCTATTAATGCTGTAAATAAATGATGAAACTAACAACAGAACAGAATGTATTAGAAAGACTGAGATATTGCACTTAGTGCTCTGCAATGTAACGCAATCCTGATGATTTTTTGATTATAAAATATAATTTTAACAAATAAATGTACGTTCTGGCTAGTTGTATTATTATATATATCTAAAAATATGAAGGGAGAAAATGTTTGCTTTCGATGGTAGCTGCTTTAAGAGAATGTCATCGACACATTTCACAAAACTAGATTCTCGGGCTCTCTCTCAATTCACTTCGAAAGATCTGAATAAGATTACCCGTAATCTGTATATATTACACTTTTTTTATTTCATATTAGTCACTACTGAGAAATTTAAAAAGAAATAAACATGTTTGCCAACTTTGTATGGGTCGTTATGAAGCTTACATCGGGACAATAAATACATTTATTATTATTATTATTATTATTATTATTATTATTATTATTATTATTATTATATTGTTATATTGTTTTGTAAGTGATTTTATCCAGTCTCCACGCTCCATGCTGTTGATGAATGTATTCGTAGGGCGTGCCCAACAAGGCAGAGGGAGGGAGGCGGACGCACCTTTCTGCAGGATCTCGAGGTGCTCCCAGAGGATGTCGCCCATGAAGGGCGGCGCGCGCGCCAGGAAGGCCTCCTTGCCCATGGCGCAGATGTCCTTGCCCTGCATGCGGAAGTGCTGCATGGCCACGCCCTCCAGCGAGAACTCGCGGATGGCCCAGCACAGCCAGTGCGCCACGTGCGTCTCCGTCCACTGGCGCGGGTCTGTAACACCACCACCACACACCTCGTCACTTACGAACAGGCGCGCAACAAAGCCACAAACCGTTGATTTACAATCTCATCATACGTGAGAACAATAAGTACATTTCTTGACTAGATAATTAAGATTAATGGACGAAGGTGCCATTCGTATCTCTCCATTAATACAGTTGATACACGTACAATTGAAGCATGTAAATGCACTTCCAAATCTAGAGGCTTGATTTATTTCAAAGTCGACTTATTTCCAAACTGTAATCTAATGAAGTTATGATTCAAGTTTTGGTATACAATTCCAATTTTTAAATACATTTATACTTCTTTTTAAAATTTCATTAACTGTTGGCATTTTAAAATCCGAGTGAATCGTACATAGTTTCGAACATACAAGGGGTATTAGTAATGTTACTTAATACTTTGGATTGAAATCTTTAAATTATTTTGAGATTGAATTTGCTGTATGCTGCAAGTCCAAACAGGCTTTAAGAAAACCACAACTGGATTTGAGGAAATTAACTCTGAGTTCTCTCTACCCCTGCTACGATTGAAAGTTTTTTTTTTTTTGAATTCAGCTCAGCCCGAGCAGTCCAAAAATATGCATCTTAAATTACAAGGCGTTCGAATGATCTATCATATCTGGGTAAAAGACAAAAACAGAAAAAAAAATTGACTAATACATTTGGGCGTAAGTATTAAAGAAATAAATTAAAAATTCCAATCCGAAAACAAGACACATGCATTCGTATACCTTCATGGAAATGCATTGTTAGTAATATGACCATACACAATGAAGTAAGAAAAAAGTATCTACGGTAAGCAGTATCATGTACTATAACATACGAATCTTCCGAAAGAATAAAGAGGCGAAGAACTAAAAATAATTATTACAAATTAATCTTCATATTCCAATACTTCAAAGTACGAAGTATACATACACAAATAATTTGAATAATGTTGCAAACACAGGAGAGATTAACATTAATTTGTTTAGATTATATTTTCAGAGTCATCCTAAGAGAATGCAATTAAAGTATGTTTCCCAGAATTTAGGACAATACAGAGGCAATATGGGGCTCCTACAGAATACAATCACGACCAATTATTCTCTGATTCCGTGGACTTCATACTTTCCGCGCATAGATGGTAACAATAAGCACGCTAAAAAAACGACTCAACAACACATAAGCATTTAGTCAACTGGTATGTTTTCTGACGCACAAATCACGTCGGCTCGAAGACGACGCAAAGCGAAAAAAAGGGCCTGTGCGCGGCCGGGTTCATTCACAAGCGGCGGCCGCAGGCAGCGCCGCGCGGCGCCGGACGGCGAGCAGGCCAGCCAGCATCACTCACTGCGTCACCGTCCTCCCACGCGCTCTTTGTACGCCCACCCGAGGGGCTTAACTGCGACGGCAATCATCCAATCAGCGAGGGAATTGGGTAAACAACCGCACCACTGCCGCGGTGTACCCGCTTCAAGAAAATCTGGATGCTGCCAGCCACCTACCGCTATCCGTCATACTCTTCCTTCAAAAAATGTTCCGATTGTTAGGTTCATAGATTATTCCAAGTGTTAGTTTGGATACTAACGATTCAAATAATTGGAGGTTAAATACTATCTTAAGTAGTTCGGTTACGGACGGAAGCCAATAGTTACATAAAAGGACACTAACATAAGAATATAGTAATATGAGCTAGAAAAACTACACGAAAATCGTTTTTATAGCACAAAATATTTCGTTCTTCCTAATTCTACCTTATAATACATGGGAGATTACCAGAAAATACAACACATACGATGAATAAAAATGTCCAGTTATAAAAGAAAACACAAAATTAATGAAGCATAAGATTCTTCATCGTTATTTTATGACGAAATTGTCCTTGGTTAATCCAAAATACACAGTAAATAAAAATTAACAAACGGAGGAAGTGTAATGGTATTTCGAAATGTCAGTTGCCTAAGTTCTACAAATTAGTTTCTACTCATTACAGTGCCGGATGTTCCCTTCAAATGAAATTTACCACAGTCTCACACCATCAAGTAATCAACGAAGTGTATCAGTTACTAAGTAAGAGAACAATGCACTATTCTCATAATACGAGCCGTGTTTCCAAATAGACCAAGATTTAAAAGGTAGCTACCTCCATTATTTTCTAAAATAACCTTAGCCACGATCTTGTAAATTACTGTGAACTTAGGGAAACATACATATTTATTGACAACACTAGCATTACGTTTACTGGTTGCGTACAATATTACACGTTATTTACATCTTCACAACAAAGAATCCTGAGCGAAAGAAATATAAGGAAAAATATTTTTTCTAACTGAATTCAAAAGCAGCAGGACAAAAGTCAGGAGATGATTTTCAGTAAAAAGATGAATCTACAAAACACGAAGCACTAACCATCAAACTCTTCCTTCGTTGCTCAGAATGATCGCGCTTCAGGAGAGCTCATTTAAAAGACTTACCGACTCGGAATTTTTCTCTCTCCGAAAGGCCTCGATGGAAAAAGTGCGCAATGCGACTAGAATTCCTTTCCTCCTCCCTTTGACCGCCCGCCAGTTTTAATACTACTAAAAATAATAATCCTCGGTTGACGAATTTTTCGGGAGTGAAAGGAACTAGTCAGCGTGATGTGGACTTTGAGAATCATCGACCCCCGGTGGCATTGTGCTCGGCTAGTGTACAGGACATCCTCTCGGGGACAACGGCGGCGGCGGGCGGGCGAGGGGGCGGCGGCGGGCAGAGGGCGGACGGGAGCGCGCGGTCTTTAGCGAGCAGGTGATTTTTGTTCCCTTGGACATAAAAGAGCGCGCCCTCTGCCGCGGCAGGTTGCTCCGCTCGCCCTGGCCGTCGTGTCACGAGGGGGAGGCCGGCGGCGGCAGGGCGGCGGGCGCGGGAGGGGGCGGAGGGCAACCGCCAATTAATCTGGCCGCTGAATAGCGCCAGTGACGCGGACACAGGGGCAGCGTATGGCTGCGGTAACGAGCACGACACGCAGGGGGGTTGGACGGACAAGGTGGAAGGGAACGGAGAAACAGGAGGTGCGTGGAACGGAAAAGGGAGACAGTTTCGTGTCGAGATGCGAAGAAACAGACGCAAACAACAACTCGCAAAGGAGACAATACGTCGAAAAAATGACAAACACGAAATATTACTAAGAACAGACAATAAATACGCAGAAGTCCTGGTAGACCTTCCCCAGAAAACATGGTCGACCTTCAGAAGAAAAAACAGAAGCCGTTCAAAATGCCAGAAAGAATAATTACAGAGAAAACAATGAGGTTGAAGATAGATATAAACAAATCAAAAATCAAGGAAATAATTAAATGAAGAAAAGTGAAAATAATGGTTAGAAGCAAAATATTTATCGTTATGACGTTTTTAATTACAAAATTTACAATAGTGACAAACTTAGAGCAAAGTTAAAAATGAAGGAAAGAATCGATAATGAATGTAATTAAGATTCATGAAATAAAACTAGAGCGAGAAATCCAACACTTCAGGGACGAGATACATGAAAACGTAACGTACGAATAAAAGCAGGATCCAAACATAATCGTACGGCAACCAAAAAAATAGAACCTGTTAGATGAACGAAGCACCAACAAGACCACAATAAATGAACCATCGTAAACGACTGCCTTCTCTCGCACCGCCCCCTCCCCCGCGTCGATGTTGTCGTCTGTCCGTCACCCGCGCCGCCAAGCGACTCCAAACAGAGAGAGGGGCTGCTCTGAAGAGCCCACGGGTTGGCCCCAGGGGCGGCGAGGAAGGGCTCCCACCTGGCGACACAATAGCGGCACGCCCGCCGGCCGCGGATAATAGCGGTCGGGCATTAAAGGGTAGTCGACAGCGCCGATCAAAGCGCGAAATCGACGCGGCGAACGCCATATGAGCCGCATCGGGGCGCGCGGCGGCGGGGG